CACTCCAGCCTGGGCGACAGAGACTCTGTCTCAAAAAAAAAAAAAAAAAAAAAAAAGAGGCACCAGACATCTGCCAATGAGATGCTGAGACAATAACTCCATTCTATAAGAACACAAAGATCACCTACTGGCTGCTTGGCTAAGAAACATTAAGGCTGAAAAACAGGTCCCCCTACATGCCCACTAACTTCACAGGCTGAAACTTGTCACCTGTCAACCAATCATGCTGCGAGACCCAGACTCCATTCTGCCTTGGACCTACCTGAAACCAAATGGCATTCACCACTTTGCTAAGCACAAACAAGGGGAGCACCCAAAGAGCACTGAAAATTGACGTGAGGAAGAATTCCAGCCACGACCAAACATCTCCATGTAGTGATGGGTCACCTAAGAGAGAAAACGAGTTATTAGAAACGGAGAAATGGAAACACAGAAGACCAAATGCGGAACCCCCATCTCGTGACTATTCTCTGTCTCCTCCTGGATCTTTCTAGTTCTTGCCAGCACATCACTATACCTATCTCAATGAGTCTAACTCATAAAGGACACACCACATTCTAGCCACAATTCCAATTCAAAGAAGCCATAGATATGTGCTGCTTATGTTGACACAAATCTGCTTACATGATGGTAACGAGATGCCACAGTGATTACCAGTACACTATTTGCAGGATACCATCTGGGTTTCAATTTCAGCTCTGCCACTTACTAATGGTTTAACCTAGGTAACTTCCATTTCCTCATTCATAATGGATAGAATAACAGTATCCATCATAAAGGGCTGCTGAAAGGCCTGAGTTAAAAAACAGCGAACACTCTCATCTGAAGGCTCTAGGAGAATAACTAAATATACATTTTAAAAAGAATAAAACAACAAAAAAGAAAATAAACAGTGAAAGCTCCTGGTACACAGGAAATGTTCAGTAAACTGAGGGAGACTGAAACATCATCTCCTACTCTGTCCCCAACAGTAAAGAAGCGGGGTATACACTTACCGATAATTCGGGCTGTTACTGACTGAAGCACAGGAATAAATACTCGATAAAACAAGAGGAGACTGAACTAAAGAAAAGAAGCAACAAGGCAAACATCAAAATCCAGTCTTTAAAACGGGAGCTTCAAGTTTTAGTGTAATGATTTCATAGATGGGAGTGCCTTTTATAAATCAGGAGGCCTAGGCCAGGTGCGGTGGCTCACTTTGGGAGGCCGAGGCAGGCGGATCACTTGAGGTCAGTTCGAGACCAGCCTGGCCAACATGGTGAAACCCCGTCTCTACTAAAATTACAACAATTGGTCGGGTGTGGTGGTGCACACCTGCAATCCCAGCTACTGGGGAGGCTGAGGCAGGAGAATTGCTTGAACCCGGGAGGCAGAGGTTGCAGTGAGCCAAGATTATGACACTGCACTCCAGCCTGAGCAACAGAGTGAGACTCCATCTCAAAACAATAAAAAAATAAATCAGGAGGCCTGAAAAAGCATCAAAACTGGATCTATTTCTGTTTCCCAACACTCCAATTGAGATACAAACTTGACACTACCTATAAAACAATGAAACTTTTGGGGGCATAGAGGAACATTTCAAGTAGTATTCAGGCCAAAATACAGGCATGTACTAAGTACACAGGAATACATATTAATTAAATTTAAAGCTAACATCTGAAAACATCTGTGAATTGTTTAGATTAAGATGTGATGAATTACTCTAAATTCTAAGTCAAAAGAAATATTTATCCATTCTTCAAAGTACCCAAATTTCAGTTAAGCCTGCACTGGGGTTCTCAGTTAATAGTAGGCAATCTTTTCTGCTATAGGTTTCAATGCAAATTAGTTCTTGTTGATCACCATAAGCAGAAGCAGGGAGAACCTTGTTCTTGTCTAGCCGTATCTGCCCTTCCCCTGATTCCCCATAGTTGCTGTTAGCATTTTAAAATGTCTAGACAGCGTCAAGAGAAACTGCTACCTATAACACTTGTGAATGAGTCATTTTAGAAACAAAAATACAAGTGTATATTCAGGGCTAACTGTGACGTTTGCTTACATACAAGTGTGCTTTCTCAAGTGGGAATAAAATCACTGCAGATGCACAGACTCCTGAGTTATATTCCTAAGTGTACATCAGCAGATGAAAGCTATTTGTCTTAGTGTTTCAAGAAAACAGTTCATAGCTATCAACCCAGCAACAATCTGAAGATGCTTGTAAGGCCCCTGAAATTTAAAGAAGAACTTACCCAGAACACTCCACCATTCCAAGCACAACACTGGAAAATTCTACTAACAATACGTGGCTCACTGGAAAAGATCACATGTATTTAGTTTATAAGGCATAAGTTATTTCCTAATTGTCATTCAGTAGTTCGTTTTATATCTTTTGTGGGTACTGTATTATTTTTCAGTACCTCATGTTCTCCCAATGTTCTAATGTCAGTCAATGAGAAAAGAATAAAAAAATGGTCAAGTGCAGTGGCTCATGGCTGTAATCCTAACACTTTGGGAGGCCGAGGTAGGCGGATCAGCTGAGGTCAGGAGTTCGAGACCAGCCTGGCCAACATGGTGAAACCCTGTCTCCACTAAAAAATACAAAAAATTAGCCAGGTGTGGTGGTGTGCACCTGTATTTCCAGCTAGCTGGGAGACTGAGGCAGGAGAATTGCTTGGACCTGGGAGGCAGAGGCTGCAGTAAGCTGAGATTGCACCACGGCACTCCAGCTTGGGTGACAGGGCAAGACTCTGTCTCCAAAGAAAGATACATATGTACATATATATATACACACACACACACATATTTTTTATATATATATATATTTCTGGGAAACCAGCTTTTAAAAGAAAAATAATTTAAAGTCTGATGTTGGAAAAGATTAAAAGAGAAAGTGTGGGGCTGGGGTTCTTCTATTAATACATAAATCCACACAGGCTTCCCTAGAAGTATCTATCAAACCAAATAATATTTTTTGGTTCTCTATTCAGCATTCTGATTTAACACGATGACATTTTTAGCAAGGATGATTGTTAGACCCTAGTTTAAGTCAATGTTGGCGGGGAGGGAGGGGGGGAATCACTTGCAACATTTTTCTGGGAAAAAGCACAAAAGAAATGAAGTGGTACGGAAACACTGAGTCACTATGTAGCGTCTTCCCTCCCTTGGACATTTTGGTATCAGGCATGCACTCCTTACCTCTCTTGCTTCCGCTCTATACTCTGGGCTCTTCTCTGTGCCAAGACACTACTTGCCCTTCTTCGACGTTGCTCCTCTCTCTTTTGCTGGATTCGAGCATCTAGCTTTGAGATGGTACAAATACCCCAGATGGAGTCTTTGATTCCCTATAGAAAAGGATATCATTATCATTATCATTATTATTATTATTATTTGAGACAGGGTCTTGCTCTGTCACCCAGGCTACGGTGCAGTGACTCAATCATAGCTCACTGCAGCCTCCAACTCCTGGGTTCAAATGATCCTCCTGCCTCAGCCTCCCAAGGAGCTATGAATACAGATGTGCGCCACCACACGTGGCTTTTAAATTTTTCTACTGTAGCGATGGTGGTCTCATCATGTTGATCAGGCTGGTTTCATACTCCTGGCCTCAAGCAATCCTCCTGCCTCAACCTCCCAAAGGCTAAGAATTCACTCATGCATCCATCTCCCACCCATGTACTGAGTATCTTCAATAAGCTGTATATTGTCATATAGAAGTGTTCGAGAAGCTTATAACTTAGTAGGAGAAGCACACAAGTAAACCAAAAAATTACATTGAAGGTTTTTTTAAAAAATGTTTTTAAATATGAAACATTTCATGAAGTTGTGTGTCGTGCACAGGAGCCACGCTAATCTCTGTATTGTTCCAATTTTAGTACATGTGCTGCAGAAGCAAGCACACATAGTTTAATAAGTGCCACAACAGATGTATGGCCCAAGTAGAGTGTTAGCACTGGGGCATTCAACTTCATGAGAAGGCAGAAAAAGTTATTCTGGAAGCAATGGCCAAGCTGGATTTAAGAATGGATAGCATTCTCGCCTACTGTTATCAGACAAAATGAATTTTAGAAATAGCTGGAATACAGAGAAATGGGCAAGTTGATGTATTATCTGTTGACAGGAGCATAAATTGGCACAGTGTGCCTTTGATCTTTTTTGTCTGAGTAATTTTTACTCCTGATTTTGCTTTTAACTCAGGAAACTCCAACTATCTAAGATAATTAAGTTCAAATGGCTGAGGGCCTAGGACATCCTAGGATGTTAGGATCCCCACCTCTAAGACATCTACAGTCCAGTGGGGCAGAGAAACATGTAAATAGCACACTGTAGAACCAACACAGGGTTGAATTTTTTTTTTTTTAAACAGAGTCTTGCTCTGTCGCCCAGGCTGGAGTGCAGTGGCATGATCTCGGCTCATTGCAACCTCCACCTCCTAGGTTCAAGCGATTCTCCTGCCTCAGCCTCCTGAGTAGCTGGGATTACAGGCATGTGCCACCATGCCTGGCTAAATTTTTTTTGTATTTTTAGTAGAGAGGGGGTTTTGCTATGTTGTCCAGGCTGGGAGGGTTGAAATTTTATAGCCCATAAATGGCAAGACAACAAGGTAAAGATGTTAAAAGTAGATCATATGCTGCTGGGCATGGTGGCTCACACCTGTAATCCTAGCACTTTGGGAGGCTGAGGCAGGCAGATCACCTGAGGTCAGGAGTTCAAGACCAGCCTGGCCAACATGGTGAAACCCCATCTCTACTAAAAATACAAAAATTAGCCAGATGTGGTGATGTGTGCCTGTAATCCCAGCCACCTGGGAGGCTGAGGCAGGAGAATTGCTAGAACCCAAGAAGTGGAGGTTGCAGTGAGCTGAGACTGCACCACTGCACTCCAGCCTGGGTGACACAGTGAGACTCTGTCTTAAAAAAAAATAGTACATCATATGCATAAAGTCTTTTTAGACCTTGTAGGATACTCTTTCAATCTCTTTTTTACTCAAAAGTAATAACCTTTTTACTTTATTGCCCTGCTAGAGTGCACTGGTACCATCATAGCTCACTGCTGCCTCATACTCCTGGATTCAAGCAGTCCTCCCTCCTTGGTCTCCCAAAGTGCTGAGATTACAGGTGTCAGCCACTTCCCCGGGCCATAAAGGTAACCTTTTAAACTCTCTCACTAAAGAATGAACCTCCCCACTCCAAGAATTGGCCTCTCTCATGCTAGTGGATATATAAGAGGGGGTTACAACTGGGACATTATTAGGCTTCAGACATACATTAAAAGTAGCAGACTTTTGTGCTATTGGTAATTTGGATGACTGGGTCCTAACCAGATCTTTACAGGGCATTTTCCTAGAGTATCCCCCTCACCTGCGCAGTTTGTAGAATGGGGAGAAAAAAGGTTCCAGCTGGGTGAGTGGCTCACGCCTTTAATCCCAGCACTTTGGGAGGACAAGGTGGGCGGATCACTTGAGCCCAGGAGTTTGGGACCAGCCTGGGCAACATGCCAAAACCCCATCTCTACTTTAAAAATTTTTTAAATATACGAAAAATTTGGGGAAAAAAAAAAAAGTTCTCTAATTTAAATTTGAATTAATTAGTTTAGGTGATAGTACTGTATCAATGTTCATTTCTTAGTTTCGGCAAATGTACCACGGTTATATGTTAACATTAAGGGAAGCTGATGAAGGATATACAGGAACTCTCTGTACTACCTTATAACTTTTCTGTGAATATAAACACATTCCAAAATAAAAAGTTTACAAAAAAAAAAAAAAGCTCTGAAGCCAAGGTGACCAGGGTTCCAACCCAATACTGGAGACATCCACTGAGGAGGTCTTCCAAGCACCTGCAAGAGTGTCTACAAGATGTAGAACAATACCTGTCTCTTAAGTAGTGTGGTCTAGAATAATAACCTGTATATAAAGAGCCCAAGAAATATGATAAATATTCCAAAAACCCTACAGGATTTCCTAGATGGTTCCTTCAGCAAAATAAAAAGGCCAAGAGATGAATTCCTATAAACAAGATGTACTCACTCTGGCAAGGTCCTGGAGAAAGGTTTTGACACTGTCAGCCATTCTTCACCACCAAACTATCAACTACACAGAGGAGAGAGAAGTGTCCCCAAATCTCTCATCATGAAGGATCTGGAAACAGATGGAACATAATGGGGGCAAAATATTTATTTTAAAGATAAGTTACTTCCTGCACATTTCCACATGATGACCTCACATACTTGTAGCTCTATAGAGTGAATCAAGTGAAGCTATTCGTGTACAGCTGAAACCTAAAATCCCTAATTTTTTCTAAACCACTCACCACCCTTTCATTTTTACAAGCGGTTTTACAGTTTACACCATTTCATTTTTACATTTTACATTTTTACAATGTGCTCTTGACCAGTAACCTCTGAACCTCAATGCCCCTAACTATCCCTCCTACACATTCTAAGCACTTTTGAGGGTTTGAAGATGGATGATAATTACATTTCAGTATCTTAAGCAATTTTTATGTTTGCTGGATACCTTCAAATACTTGAATGAAAATACAAGAGTAAGATAAAAGTTCTTACAAACATTACTACATACGTGCTTCAGTCATACAGAGCCCTCGGGCACACAGTAAGGTTTAAGGTATGACATGAAATTGGCTACCAAAACTTCCAAATAGGTCTTTTTAATGGTCTTTTTGTTTTGTTTTAGTTTGGTTTTGAGACAGTCTCGCTCTTGTTGCCCAGGCTGAAGTGCAACACTCGGCTCGGTTCACTGCGACTTCCACCTCTTGGGTTCAAGAGATTCTCTTGCCTCAGCCTTCCGAGTAGCTGAGATTACAGGCACCTGCCACTACGTCTGGTTAATTTTTTGTATTTTTAGTAGAGACGGGGTTTCACCATGTTGGCCAGGCTGATCTCGAACTCCTGATCTCAGGTGATCCACCCATCTCAGCCTCCCAAAGTGCTAGGATTACAGGCATGAGTCACCACGCCCAGCTGGTCTTTTCTATGTTTTCTAATTTTAAATATATACAGATATAATTTTAATAAACATGCAATAAATAGTGGAATTTAAACTAGGCCTCAAAAAAGTTCATATGTATAAACAGTCTTTAAAACAGTAAGGCTTTCCCATTTTATTTCTCAGGTGAATGGGGTATCTAGTTTCAAAAATTAAGAACTTGAGAGTTCATGTGTATAAATTTAATATACTATTCTCTCATTTCATCTATGGTGACTTCTAAGATGAATAGAAAACCCACTTTCATGCTTTTTTTAAGAACTTGATATTCTAAAGTTCTCAACACTCACTAAACCAAGTTGCAGTATTCTCGGTTTAAGAGGTACAACCATAATTCAAAGACAGAATTTCACAAGCAGCTTGTACAAACCTTAAATTTCAAAATAGAAGCACACTTTCCCCGACCTTTAACCACTTCACCAAACTGCTCCTCATTGACCCAACTGGACTAATGCCATTCAGAACTGGAAGAGCAGGGGATATGGCTGTAGGAAGGCAATTTGCCCAACACTGTATATACCCTCTGCTCCTTAGGTCAAATCCTATACAGATGGGCTCACTTCGGAAATAAGTCTCTAGGGTGAGCAACTTCTGTTAATACTCCCACTATTCCCTCCTGAAAACAAAGACCTCAGAGTTCCAATCGCCAAGGTACAGCCATACAGACGTGTTCTCAGGGTTGAGGTGAGGGCGGCTGAGCTAGACGACTAGCAAATGCTCAGTGATATGCACGACACTAGTTTGTAAAGACTCACAGATCCACTCCCTTAACCTGCCACTTGCTCATCTGGAAATTAAGGGTACTAAACTTCTTCATAGGTTTCTTGCATCTAATAGGGCACAACAGCATGAAAAACACTTAAAATTCTATATAAACACAACCCCACTAAAGTGAGCCAGCTAGGAGGTTTAGGGAAGCCCATTACTTGGCTTGGATTTCTCACAGGGTACTGACAGGGAACCTGAAACATTCTGCCTCAGTCCACAACAGCTGTGTCATTTGATCCCCGACCAGCTAACACCTGGTTTCTGCATGTACCAAGTGGCAGGACACCTCCTGACTAAGAGTGGCCTATGAAGGGTAAATCACTTCACTTTTATACTTAGATCCTAACATTCTTCCTACAGGAATATGTGGTGAATCACGCAGTCTAACAAAAAGTGAGACATGGGGAAAAATAACTTGCCACAATTTGAGATCACATACAGAGACTGAATGACACAGGGGGAATCCTACAGCTGAGCTAGACAGATGAAGATGAATCTGGTTCATTTAACAGGTGAGAGAACCGAGTCTCAGGAGTTAAATGACTTGCCCAGACTGACAGCAAATGAATGGTAGCTACAGTGAACCTCAGAACCCGGTGTCCTAATGTTACCTCGGTCGACTTGTTTTTAAGCTTTGCAATTTTTTTTTTTTTTTAACACGAGCATCCCATGGACAAATAACCTCTCAAACCTGGAAATACAAATGACATTAAATTCCTAACACTCATTAAAAGCTAATAAGCATCTGTTGAGGCACAGTCCTGCACTTTTATTTGTAAGTCGCTAAACCCAAGTCTCGGCAAGCAGGAAGCTGTCGCAGCCCACTCCAGGTACAGGGAAGGTAAACATCCTCACTTCCCACGGGGCTCCACGGGCTGCCTCTGAGTCCACGGGTCCATTCGGGCCCATCTCCCCACAGCTCCTAGGCAATTCGGCTGAAAACTGGTCTCCCTCCTTAGGCACAACTGTGCACGAGGTGCGGACCACGCACACCTCCGGTCACACAAGGAGCTAAAGATAGCCGCGCCCCACCTGGAGCAGCCTCGTCCGGGGATGTGCCTGGTCCCGTCCCGCTCCCTCCGGCCCCTTCCCGCAAGGGGTCCTCGCGGGTAGCCCCACCAACCCACGCTGGGGCCCTGCCTGCCCTCCCGGCCCCTGCCACTCAGAATGGGCGGCGCGGCGGTCCCGAGGCCTGGCTTGGCTGATGCCGCACCTACCCGCAGCTCCGCCGCCGCGGCTCCGGCCCGGCCCCTCGCCCACCGCGGGCCCGCTCCGCCGGGGCGCTTCCAGGGCCGGGGCCGCTGCGCCCGCACTGGGCATGCCCGGGCCGCACGGGGCCGCTGGGAAGTCGGGCGGGCGCGAAGAACCAGCCGGCGCGACGAGGCGGGGCCCAGAGCTGAGGGGCGGGCCGCGCGGAGCGACGGAGACTGGGAAATGTAGTCAGTCCGGGGTCGCGCCTCGCGCTGCGTGCGGGGTCGCCCGGCTCCCAGCTCCGCCTGGCGGCAGAGAGGACCCCTCACCCCTCCCGGTCGCCTCCTCCCCGATCCCGTTCTCACAGATCTCTCCTGTTCTTTGCCCTCCCCCATTGACTCCACAGCGCTGCTTGCGTTTCTAAAATCCTGTGAAATACTAGTAACAGGAGCGCAATAAAATACAGAGGGCACCTTGGTTTATTTGATTGCAGATTTTCTGTAAAGTTTACTAAGAAATGACGGGTTTAAATCAAGCTTCACTCACAATGATCCGGGACAGGACAAGCTCCCATCCAATTCGGCTGCATTATGTGTGTGTAATCTGATGGCAAAGGAGTGGTTGCGATGAAACGAGGTAGAGAATCACTGTTCTCATCTCCATCCCACAAGTCCAGTTCTACCGCAGGAAGGGCAGTTTCTTGGCGTGGAACTGGAAAGGAGGCAAAGTTCTACCTCTCCCCTTTTAGGGGGTTCTCCTCTGGGCCTGAGCATTAAACTGACAAGATAGATTAACAAGAGAAAAACTGTGAGGAAAAACTCAAACCGTTTTTCCTCTGCTCTCACACCAACATGATCAACACAGAAGAGTTCTGTGATCAAATGTGTGGGGTTTTCCCCCACACCCCAAGCAGGAGACACCAGCTGGGTGTGCCCTAATTCAAGTCCATTGTGATGTATTTTCTGGAGATAGCCTCAGATCCCGCAGGTTGAAGGCTCAGTCCCAAGACTACTCTCCCCTTCAGACACCAGTCATAAGTTCAGGTACCCTGAGCTTCTGACCAACAGGTTTCAAGCTGGGGCTCCAACCATCCACCCTTTGGGTTTCATTAATTTGCTCGAGTGGCTCACAGTACTCAGGGAAATACTTACGTTTCCTGGCTTATTAGAAAGGATCTTAA